GATACGCAAACTGAGGCTCAGAGTGAATAAGACACCTTCTCAAGTCCACGCCCATGACACACACAGGACTTTTCTGACTCTGGGACCCTTCCTTGTAACCAGGGTACAATGTGGCCTCCGACTTGACCTGTTCAGGTAGACCCATGTGGATCAGCCCAAAACCAGCAGCTCCCTGCCACGAAGGCACACAGAGAGAACAAATACAAGAGAGCAAGCCCATTGCCAAGAAAAACAAGTGTGACAAGGTTGACAGGAAGCAAATACACAGGTCCTAGAGAGCCAGCCTTGGCACGTCCACCAGCGCCTGCAGGAAGACTCTGCACCAGCACTTGAGTCTAGAATCAGAGCTACTGTATGGGCTAAGAGGGGGAGGGGAAACAGGAGTTCATTTTAAGCTAACTCTGACACAGCCCATGAAAGTTCTACTCCATACTCACCTGAGACCTTCAGGGAATTAGAATAGCCTGTGAACTTCAACAAAGCCAGAGCTAGAAACTGGGAGAGCAAAGAAAAAGCCAGAGTAGAGACCCTACAGATAATTTTGATGGGAATCCATTAGTGGTAAAGAGATCATGAAAAGAACTCCCTTCTAACAAAAAGGTAGTTTAATAAGAAAAAAGGCAAGACTATCTTGCCATGAAATTTTCACCTTTATACTCTAACCCATACACAGGTCACCATAAATTTATAGAAACTCAATGTACTCTAAATAAGAAACAATTGTGAATATTTTTTGTGGTTTATTGGAAGACAGAAGAGGAACGTGAAGGGCAATCCCACGTGGCCAACTGTGTAGTTCGAGTCTAGGATCCAGCAGCTTGAAAAATACACCAGTCACATGGACATGTATGCCCAAAATCCCAAGAGGAGAGTGGACTGCAACATGGTCATCCCCGCTGGAGGGTGCTCTCTTCCTCTCTCTCTCCCCCTGGTAAGCACAAATGTCCTTTAGTAAATTTAAAATGAGAGAAAAGGACTGTGGAGAAATGAACTTCATTTTCACACTAAATAACAAGGGCAAAGATGGAGAAAGGCCATTGCACCTGAATAAAATTTTTTATTAACAATTTAAAATTAGCATGATGAGCATGCCCTATGTCCTGATGGTTCAGGGAGCCAGATATATGGCCAACTGTGCAGTTCAAACCCAGGATCCGTGGCTTGGAAAACACACAGTGCACTTAGGTCCAAAATCCCAACAGAGTGGATAAATGGAAGAGAAAGGATTACAACATGACCACACCCCATTGGGAGGGTGCTTTCTCCCTGACTCTGGTAAGTGCCCTCTAGCAATTGAAAAAATTATCAGGACTGGGGCTACCAGATGGCATAGTGGTTGGGGTGCTGGATACTCTATGGTAAACTACAGTTCAAGTCCCAGACCAGGGGGCTTGAAGAGCCCATCCAAAATATCCCAAGATGAGAATGGAGGAAAGAGGACTGCCGAGTGGCCATCCCCCAGGGGGATGATTTCTCATATTCCCTCTCCTCTGTTTCTCACAAGCAAGCAAATGAGCACTGTAGCAAAACAAAATTTTTAAAAATATATGATTATCATAATTATCAACAGCAATGTTTATCATTATAAAAAGTGCTAAGGAAAAGCTACCCTTAAGTCAAATGGGAGGAAAATGGTATGGACTCTAATTTTCTTTCTAATTTGGCATCAATTCTAAAACTGAAATACTTTCAGGCCAGTTTGTGGCATGATGGTTAAGGTGACTGGCTCCCATATGGCTGAACGTGCAGTGTGGCCAGGCCCCACAGGGTGCTTTCTAGCCCCCAACTCCCATTTCTCTCCAGCAAGCACACATGCAAAATTAAAAATATTAATTTTTTAAAAACTCAAATACTTTTGATTACCAAGAAAGGAAGCAAGATTTGAGGCTCTAAGTAGCCAAGGATGCATGCTCCAAATTAAAAAAGCAAGAGAACCCTGGAGCCGCAGGTTCTAGGAAGAGCCATAAGCTTGTGTAACTGGTAAGGGAGAATGTGAGGACCTCCCGCTAAAAACATCTGAGGCCACAGGCAAGACCTGGGACCACCACCCTTGAAGGATCTAGTCTAGGAAATACTCCTCAGACTCTGTGGCAGAGGCAGGGGGAGGGCAGCCTCTCACTTTTTGTTCCTTTAGTTACTGATAATTCAGTCAGCCCTTTCCTTCTGAGGGAAGAGAGAAAATATCCCTCCTCCACACCAAGGCCAACTGCTCCCCATTTCCACAGGATTAACTATCACTTATGCCTGATCTCTCCTGCATCTCAGCCTCTCCCTTCTCTACCGGCTCTTTCTCACCAGCATTTAGAACATTCTTCACTTTCTCCTATCTTAAAAACAAAAATTCCTTTCATTCCTTATCTCCTCCCTTTGCCAGGAGAAACTTCTAAAAAGAACAGTCTGTCTCCCCTTCCTTACCCCCAGGCTTCTGAAATGATTCTGGCCAAGGTCACCAGTGGGCTACATAACCCTAATTCCAACAGCTATGTTTCTCTCCTTATCTTACTAGACAAAGATGGCCACTCTTCTCCAATACTTTCTGCCCTTGACCTACGACTCCCTTCTCCCACTACTCTGCCTCTCTGGGATCGCATGCTTAGTAACCAGAAGGGCTCTTCTTTCTCTGCCTAACCCCTTTGAAAGTCAGCACCTGTAGGGCTCAGACCTCAGCTCTTCAGACTGCACACTCACCCTGGCACTCTGACATACTCCCCAGGTGTCAAGTCTCTACACCCACATTTGCAACTGCCTCAAACCTTAGATCCTACAGGCACTGTAAACTCATTACTTTAAGTTTATTTAATTATTTTCTCCTTACCTGAGAGACATAGACAGTATCCCCAAAAGGGTCTTCATGTCACAAGCCACTCTCAGATTATGGACACATTAGTGTCTAGGGTTCCAAAGAAGCTCTCTGGACATGAACCCAGAACATTCCCATATGGGTCAACCTTGCAGAACATCATGTTTAACCACTGAGCCACCATCCAGCCTCCAAATTCTTTTTTGTTTTTGAAGAGGTTTTTTTTTTTTTTGCTATAGGGAGCATGCGCTCTCCAGAAAGACAGAGAGATAGAAAGTGAGAAATCACGCCCAGGGGGGATGGTCTTGCCACAATCCGTTCTCCTCCATTCTCCTCTCGGGATGTTGGGCACACACGCACTCATGCCTGGTGTGAGTTTAAGCTGCCGGGTCCAGGACTCAAACCACGTCAACCACATGGGAGTCCAGCAACACAGCCATTACGCCAACTGCTAGTCCCCAGCCCTCAAATTCTTCATGTCTAAAGCTAAAGCCCTCATCTCCAAGGCTACACTACTTCTGTGGGCCTATGCTCTTTTGCCTTGTAGACCTTCCTCCAAACAATTGGGGACCAGCAGTTGGTATAATGGCTATGTCGCTGGACTCCCATGTAGTCGACCACGGTTCAAGTCCCAGACCTGGTGGCTTAAACTCACACCAGATGCGTGTGAGTGTGTGTCCAAGATCCTGAGAGGAGAATGGAAATGGGATTGCAGTATGGCCATTCCCCCTGGGGGGTGATTTCTCACTTTCTGTCTCTTTCTAGCAAGCGCACATGCCCTATAGCAAAAACCTCTCCAACAACAACAAAAAAATAGTATTGGAAAGACAGCCCTGGTGGC